GGAGCTGTCGGCGATTCACAATCCTGCTGTGTGAAATGAGTTCTGACTGAAAAACACATCGGCGATGACCTACAGCCAATGAGAGACCAAGATACAGGGCAACGGGAAGTTCGGGGAGGAGTTATAGACCAGAATATCAGTATTTTAATAGATATATGAACAATTATATCATACAGAAACAAACCAGACAGAGCTGTCGGCGATTCTTCTTATTGTGAAGTCATGCAATGTGAAACCCCCTGTCGCCGATCCATCGTGCAGTGTGAACACAGCAACAACTGAATGCTACCCCAGATAGTCACGCAGTGTGAAAACAACGGCGATCCGACGAGTTTGAAAATCGTGCAGTGTGAACGCGGCATAAGTTAAATTCGCAACTTTGGATGGAAACCCGGCTACTGACACTAATTCTATCTCTGTCTCTCCCCATGTCTTCCTCTCTTTAGGTCATGTGTAACAGACATGTGTGAGTGTCCAGTGCATAAAAACTGTTACTGTGAGTCGTTTATAGCATACAGTCGAGCGTGTGAGAGAGAGGGCATTCGAGTGCACTGGAGACCGGAGCTCACCTGCATGAGTAAGTCAGACCTGACAAATATATATCGACAACAGGAACTCAAACCCTCATTCATTATATGGTGTTTTTATTGTTGTTTGATGCAGCAAAAATGAATAGCCCCTTTTTAGGATATTGTTAAAAAATTCAAAACATGTTTTCTCTCTTTTACATTTGAAATGTTTTAGGATTTCTTGTTAAGAAGCTGACAAAATGTATGTGATAAAAGCTGACATAAATATGTGATGGTGTCTTTTCTTCATATTTGACTAGTGTTCATTTCTCTTTTTTTAGGCACACACTGCAAACATGGTGCAGTTTATGACACATGTGGACCTGGCTGCACTAAAACCTGCAATAACTGGAACGAAATCGGACCCTGTCAAAGGCCCTGTTTCGCTGGCTGCCACTGTCCGGCCAGCCTGGTCCTGTTTGAGGGCCACTGCGTTAAACCTACATCCTGCCCCGTGCGATGACCCACAGGACTATAAACGCAGAGGGCTGCAAGAGATCCAAACACAGAGGCAAAAAGAGCACTGTGTATGCAATTTCGCAAACAGTACTGTACGATACTCAGATACTGAGAGAGACACACACTGTACCTTTGCCCTGCTTCCTTCAGCAGTGAGACTCACCGGTAGCTTCGAAGTAAGTAAGCTTCTCTGTGGGGACTCAGGATCTCTCTGCTCGCTCTATGTGGACTTCTCATAGGTGGCGAATACCAAATCCTAAGTGCCTTACTGAAGTCTGGAATGAACTCAGTGTTACCAAATTCCTGATGCTTCAAACAAAAAGACCTGAACTGGACATTCTGAGTTAAGTGTGGGGTATACGGCGTACATAAACAATAGTATTATCCATTTATTGGGTCAGCCAGTATTTAATACACAATTTCTTTACCGAAAGGGAAACTATTTATGTATTTGTTGTTTATTTTGTAAGTCGGGGACTCAGATGTGACTGTTATAGCATTAAAGAGAAGTGTACTGTATTTGTCCAGCCCAGAGTTCATACACTGATGTGTGTATGTGTTATTCTAACTGTACATTTCATTTGACCCATTAAGATACTATATATTACCAGTATAAAGCTTACAGTATATACTTTCAAAGAAAACATGTTTAAACATTTTCTCATCAGGAAGTGCAGTGTGACGTTTGTGCACACAACTCAGGTTCGCAGATGTCTCGTGTTGATTCAGGACTGGGTATATAGACTCATAGGGACTGTAAATTGAATTTTTTTTTTTACAATACTAACCGGAGTGTTAATAGAATGACTTTGCACCTATGGTAGAGGAAACCCCCGCTACTTACATAAAAATGGACTTGTAGGGACTGTACATTGATCAAACTTTTACAACACTAACCTGAGTGTTAATAGTGTTCAAGTCCTGTAGTTCAGTCGTGATCATACAAGTGTTATTGTTTGAGCTACATTAAATCCGACTAAACACACATGGGCACAGCCCTAAAAGAAAACAACATTCTTTCCACAACTCTGAAAGACATCTGAGAGAATGAGAGTTATCGATCAATGTAATGCAGTAGTTGACTCATGAACATTTTTTTTAAACAAAGATTTTATGTTAAAGGTGACATATCATGAAAATCTGACTTTTCCAGGTTTTAAGTGCTATAATGAGGTCCCCAGTGCATCTACCAACCAAGGAAACATGAAAAAGATTAACCCAGTAACTTTGCGTTGGTAAGCCTTTTTCTGCAAGCGTCTGAGAAAACGAGCGTGTCTGATTTCACTCCCTTGGTGACGTGGCAAAGGGATCTAATTTTAATATTACCGCCCCTAATCTGTAAGTTTACACCCACGGCGCCGTTATTATGTTTTCGCAAGCGACAACGGTGTACCAGTTCTAATGCCATGGCGAAAGTTTGAGCAAAATATGCTAACTGTTCTGTCATTGGCTGCACAGAACACTGTTTAGAGTCCCAGCCTCAGAGCACACAAGAGAGCAGTGGATTTATTGCCCCCAAAACAGTTTTTTAGCAGGTACGAGCTCTATTCTGGAAAAGGGGGTGGGGAGCTACAGCTCATTTGCATTTAAAGAGACAGGCCCGAAAAACAAAGTGTTTCTGCTTCCACGTAAAATAGGCATTTTCAAAATGATATAATAAATGATTTGTGGAGTATTTTGAGCTGAAACTTCACAGACACATTCTGGGGACACCAGAGACTTATATTACATATTGTAAAAAGGGGCATAATATGTCTCCTTTAAAATTTATGTTTGTATAGTTTTGGTTATCGATGCTATAAGTGATTACCATCAGTTTTTACCTTTTTCCAATTATATCGGCACACTTGGTAAATATGAACAAAATGGGCTGTGAATTTCTTTCAATTAAAATTTCACAAAAATCAAACCTCTACTTCAAATAAAATTACACGAAAAAAAATATTGTGGAACAAGTCCATCCATTCTCAAAACCACTTTGTCCTGTGTAGGGTGACTAGGGATGCAGAAATGTGGAATAAATGAAATGTTTATATCTAAAATATTTACCTACAAATTCTCAAGAGTAATCATATCTAACTGAATATAACTTAAAAAAAAAAAAAACTCACCCTTCATGTCATTCCAAACCTTTATGACTTTCTTCTGTTTACAGGTACTAGTTGGGTCTTGGGATCAGAAAGTTTTCAAAACTATGATCAGACCTCATCTATAAGCTCAACTTGTTTGGGGAAAATGGCCATAAATAGCCTTTGGTGTAATCAAATAAACTCATGTACCTACAGTTTGCCATGCGTTACTGTAACTGGGTTCAGTGGGACTGGGTTTTATGGCCAAATGAGACCAGAATATTTTTTTTTGGAAACAAAACAATAGCGGTGGGTTTGGAATAAACAGAAATATGTAGACAAGTGCCTAAACCCCACTAAGCACTCTGGAGGATCTTTAATGCATGTGCTGCTAATTTTCTTCAACTTGTTAGAATACATGATATCATAAATTCCAATAAATACCAGCAGATATTAAATCAACACCTGACTGACCTGTCAAGAAGCTTAAAATGAGCCGTTGTTAGATCTTGGTTAGGATAGGTTGCTTATGCACATTGAGCCTTTCTTATCATTATACTATATACATATTCTAATGCAATCTGTAATTTTCACTCATTGAAGAGATCATAATTTATTACAGTATATTAAAGACCCCATTAAATCACTTAACAAGCAATTTCATTTACTGTTTAAGTATTTCCTTTTGAAACAGGATGTTTCTACGCAATATACGTAACTATCAATATTCATCATTTCATCAGAAAGGAATGATTGTATTCTTGTTTTGAAGTAAAAACAAAAAAAACATTACAATTACAAACTGCCTCCGATTGTTAATTTTTTTTGCAATGTGATGGCAGATAAGCAGGGTTTGAAATTAACTTTTTCACTCACCAGCCAATTTGGCTACTAAATTTTTAAGTTACCGGCCATTCATAATTTCTACTAGCCAAAAAAAGGGCCGGAGGTAAGCCAACAGCTTGAGGCTGTCCACACTGGATACGACAAAGTGACCATTGCAAATCATTTGAATTTACGAAAGGTAACCCGCCAAATTGGCTAGTGATTGGACAGCGTTACCCGCCACAGCCGATTTTTACCCGCATTTGGCGGGTTGGCGGGTGTTAATTTCAAACCCTGCAGATAAGGCACTAGAACGGACATGCTTACATGATGCTGCATTACTGACGGGTCCATCTCCCCGTAAACGCCTGTTTGAAAACTTTATGTTTATTTGTGACTGAAGAGAATTCACAGTGGAATGCACCAAACAACAAATGCTGTTCTACTGAGACATTCACATAGTGGAAACTAATTTTTCCTAACATGATCCTTCAGAAGGTAATGCTATTTTTAGTCCAGTGATCTTGTTTTAGTATTTCTCCTGTCTATCCTCATCACCTCACTTATGAACCAATGGGTCGAGCCAAAGAACTGATGATGAAGTATAGGATGTTGATATGTGTCTGTGCAGCAGTCTTGTGCTGTTGTAATCATCTGTATGACATTACAAGGACAAGGAAGTGTAAAAAAGTGGCTTGGTTTTAATAAAAAGCTTGTTTTTGGATTAACAAGGAAGTTTTGAGTTGAGCTGACAGTATGCTTTTATAGTAAATAACCTCTTATATATGTGTATATATATATGTGTGTGTGTGTGTGTGTGTATATATGATGTTTCTAATGTAAAAATCCTACCAACACTGAAAGTACACCTCTGGAAACATAATTAAAAAATAAAAAATGCATGACCGCTTTAAACTGTCCTGATAATGTAGACAAACAATGTTTCTAATGTAAAAATCCTACCAACACTGAAAGTACACCTCTGGAAACATAATTAAAAAATATAAAATGCATGACCGCTTTAAACTGTCCTGATAATGTAGACAAACAAGCCATTTGCAGTTTGTTTTGTACCATTTATATTTTTTAATGTACGCTAGTCTTCCTCCATTAACAGATATAAATGTGTGTTTGGCTTTGCTAATAGTTGAAAAACACAAAGGGGGATAACACTGTTGGATCTGTTATGGTGATGCATTTTTAAAAAGCTAACAGTCTCTTTGTTCTCCCCTTTGCTGAATAGTAGCTGTAGTTTCATGAACACAATGTTTGTGTAGAGCTTGATTAATCGACAATTAATACGCTTAATTGATGTTATTAACAGCAATTACTCAATCACCAATTAATCATTAAATCAATATTGAAATAATTGAACTTTGGATTTCCTTATTTTCTTCATTTTACATTCATGTTGTCTTTGTTTTCTATGTTCACTAATATCAGTAGAATAATCTACTTGCAGTGTCCGTTCGTTGTGGGTCAGAATCAGTTTTTCTTTTGGGCTGAGATGTCTCCGCTAACCAGACGTGGGCACCCATTTTTGGAAGCCAGGTCCTCACGTTGCGCTGGTTCGATTCCTTCCTCTGTTTCAGGCAGGTTTTTGAAGAGCTGCTTCTTCATTTGATAGAGACACCACTTTGCAATACTCTTGTGCAGGCATGATTTTCTACCTTTGCTACAAGGGCAATTCCAAGTGTTTATCTTGGCATTGTAATTCACCAAGACTCTGCCCAGTTTACTGTAATGTGACACCTTTGGCTCATAAATTGATATATAATACATGTAGTCGGGGCCTCCTATTGTAACAAGGCTAGTAAATGTGGCACCTTTACTTTTAGCCTGATGTTGCAGCTTAAGGCATCGTTTCTTCCTTATGTCCCCAATCCATTTTCGCTCCACCATCTCAGTCAACACATGCTCTGATAAATCCTCACTCGGTGCAACAGCACAGGTGTAGTCTACTGAGCTTAGATGCACACATTGTGCAACCAAAAGTTCACTCCTTTGTGCCATTTCAACACGACTGTTGCAAATATCCATTTCACACATAACCTTGTGGGATGAACCCCAAAAAAATTTTACCACATGGATGAGGGTACAGGACTTACAAAATGATTCTGATACAACATATAGTCCATTCTTTTTATCGACACACTGTGCTGGTAGAACTGAAGTTACGGGATGCAAGGCTTCATGATGCTTCCGCTCAATGTGTTTCTTTACATTTTTAGAATTAAGACTGAGCCCGCAGTGAGGACATTGCATGGAGATTTGCTTTCTTTTAGCCATCCCTGGATGAGCTGCTAATTCCGATGGACAAGGTGCAGGTTGCTGTAAAGAAGGTGCTTGTAGTGGGCGACCTACAGGTTGTGTTTCTGGAGCCATTGGATGAGCACTGCAAAGATGCCTTTTTAGATCACTTTTATTGATGTACGTCTTGGGACACTTGCAGCAGTGAAAATGTCTGGCCTTTTGACCACAGCCAATGTTACAGCTGTACATAACATAATCTAAAAATAAATAAAAAATGTTAGTAGACATTACCCTGCATAATGACTTTAACTTTTTTTAAATGACTTTTATCCTCATTTGTAAGTCGCTTTGGATAAAAGCGTCTGCTAAATGACTAAATGTAAATGTAACTGAAAAAATTATATCACTTTCTAATAAACTTCTTTTTTTAACATTAGTGAATGTAGATCAACATACATTAAACAATGGACATTTCTTTCTTTTACAGAATTAATGTTAATATATAGTATACAACTTTTCATTTTAAAAATGTATTTGCATATTTTTAAATTAACATTAACCAAGATTGATGAATACTGTAAAAATATTAGTTCATTGTTAGTTTATAACATATGTTAAGTATTACCACATTATTATAAAGTATTACCAAACAAACTTTAAGCTCACTACTCACCTCCATATTCAACCGCTCTCAGTTTATGGCCAGCTATATGGGTCATTATTTGATGGTACTGTCTTGGCTTACATACATCAGTTGTGCAGAAGGGGCATGTGAATAAAGTAGCATCTGTACGGCAGCGTCGCGGTCGAGGCTCTTGCCCTCTCTGCTTAACTGTGATGTGCTGAATAGACAAGAAAAATGTCAGTTACCCTCAAGAGAAAATGTCTATACATTTTTAGGGATGCACCGCAACCGATACTGGTATCGGTATCGGGCCCGATACTGCGCTCCTGTACTCGTTAAAATGCCCCGATACCAAAAGCCGATACCAAACAGCGTGTGAATAGAGCTGTGTCCAGAAAAAGAAACACTGAAAACAGAACAACAGCGTAGAATGGAGTTATTGGAGATTAAGGATGTCTATGAAGTACATGTAAGTAATTAATATAAATGTTAAACATTCAATATTCACGCCTGTATAGCGGATGTGCCCGAGCTGATAAGCAGATGAGCGCGCTGAGTGGATTGAGCTCGCGGCTGCACAGATGCGCGAGTTTGTCGAGTGAATATCTCACAGACATCACTGGAAAGTTTGTAGTTCGGTCGGATATGTCAAAAGCAAGTAAGTAAAACAATGCACAAGTTACTAAAGTTATTTGACGGTAAGGAGAGAGAGAGAGAGAGAGAGCGCACTTCTGTTGCATGATCTTGATTGTTGTTCGCTCCATTAGCGCATGCATTTGGATTAAAACTAAATCCTAAATATAAAATAAACAAAAATTATAGGGGCATTCACAATAAACAGCATTTATTTTAAACGTCAAGCATACACAACTTTATTTAATTAAAGCAGAAGTGAAACTAGCAGACTGGGTGAAATGCGCTAGGCTGTAAGTGTCTCTCTCATTCCGCACCAATACAAACATGTGCGCGCTGCGTATATTTAGCTTGCTTTAAGGCCAAAGAATACTTCGGTTTTTACTCGTACGCGAGGGTCCGTGTACACTGCTTGTGACGCAAATTACATCACCAAAATAGTACACATGCACTTGTATAATGTATAACGAGTGGTTCCCCGCATTATTTTAGGAAAACGTTTTGTGATTACAGTATTGAGCTGCTGCAATGGAGCAGCTCTAATGCGCCATTAAAATTAACAGTGAAAGTCACAAAAGCGTATACAATACATTTTAACAGGTATAATTAAGTGTGGAAATAACTGAAGGTAATATCGGTTTGCTAAATGAAGCCAAATAACATGATTCATATTATTATTATTACTATTATTTTGTTTTTGTACCCAATATTTAAACAAAAATTACAAATGCTGTGAAAATACAGGTATAGGTATCGGTATCGGCGAGTACCAAAAATGAAAGTATCGGTATCGGACTTTTTCTGAAAAAAAGTGGTATCGGTGCATCCCTACAAATTTTTGTCTAAAATGTATTTCCCCAATATATATTACCATTGCTTCATATTTATACTAGATTAATTCATTTAACTAATTGATTATTTCAACAGTTACATTATGTAGTGCCTAGAACTCCAGCCTAGATAACTAGCTAAGGTTAGACTGGATAAGCCTTTGATATTTTAAATGCAAGTTACCTGCATCACCATTGGTTTCATAGCTAAAGCGCCAAATAGCGAGATGCACTAAATAGCTAGCTAATGTTAACCAATAATACTTAATGCTAGATAGTCAGTCATTCAGCTCAATGTATTTCAATTTTTAGAAATCAGACTCACCCTACGTGGAAACTGAAAAGAGGTTTGCTTTCTCTCAATCGCTGGACAAGCTGCTAATTCTTGTGGATGAGGTGCTGCTTGCTGCAAATCAAGTTCTTGTGGTTGAGATGCTGGTTGTTTCTGTGAAGGAGGTTCTGGTGGTGGATGAGATGCTGGCTGTTGCTGTGAAGGAGGTTCAGGAGGTTCTGGTGGTGGATGAGGTGCTGGTTGTTTCTGTGAAGGAGGTTCTGGTGGTGGATGAGGTGCTGGTTGTTGCTGTGAAGGAGGTTCTTGTAGTGGGTGACTTACAGGTTGTGGTTCTGGAGTGCAAGTAGCTATTGGATGAGCACTGGAAAGATGCTGTTTTAGGTCACCTTTATTGATGTAAGTCTTGGGACACTGGCAGCAGTGAAAATGTTTGGCCTTTTTGCCACAGCCAATGTTACAGCTGTATATAACATTATCTAAAACAGAGGTTTGAGCACATTTGTATAAGCACAACATTGACCAAGAATAATTAATGCTGTAAAATATTTTTTTTTTTCACCATTCATAATTTTTGTTATTTATGTTTGTTAACTCTTCCCACAATATTATTAAGTATTACTAAAGAAACTGTATGCTCACACCTCCATATTCAACCGCTCTCAGTTTATGGCCAGCTATATGGGCCATTACTTGATGGTACTGTCTTGGCTTACATACATCAGTTGTGCAGAAGGGGCATGTGAATAAAGTAGCATCTGTACGGCAGCGTCGCGGTCGAGGCTCTTGCCCTCTCTGCTTAACTGTGATGTGCTGAATAGACAAGAAAAAAAAAATAAAATCAGTTACCCTCAAGAGGAAATGTCTATAAATTTTAATCTGAAATATGTTTTCCCCAATGTATATTACCATTGCTTCATATTTTTTTACTAGAAAACAATAACACAATGTAAAACAATTAGTTTCGCTTACATTTTTTATGGTTCTTCTGTAATTCTATCTATGGTGTTAATTTTTATTGTACTTTTTTCACGTAGCATCAATACTTTGGTAAATATTTATGTCAGGTCAATTTTAGAACTTCCATCATTAATTATAAAACATTGGTTTAGTACACATAAGTTTTTATACTAATTTTGCATGTTTTTTTAAAAGATATTTTGCTTTTGCAAGGATGGGAACATTCTAGAAGTTTCTATAACATTCTGGAACATTCCAGAACATTGTGGGACTAGTCATAAAATACAAAAATCATCCAACATACACTTCTGAAGACGACTCACCTTTGGTAATTGTTTATGTCAAGCTGTTGTTAGCTCAGTATTATGCATGTACCATGTAATTTTTATGCATGAGTGATAACAGATTAGCTTGTATAAGCGGTAAACATATATTTTTTTTAGTTTTCATGAGCACTGTTAATGATACACACAAAGTCATGTGATTTTTGTATTCAGCATGTCAAACTTCATAAATAAACAATAAAAATAAAAGCAAAACAACTTAATAAAAATTGTTTCATGGTGTAATCAACTGATTAATTTAACAAGTTACATTATATAGTGCCTAGAAATCTAGTCTAGAAAGCTAACTAGCTAATGTCATTGTTATTTTTAAATGCAATAAGAATATACCATCTGGAAAGGGTTATGCAAGTTACCATTATCACCACTGGTTTCACAGCTAAAGAGCTAGATTCACTAAACAGCTAGCTAAAATTAACTAATAATACTTAAAGGGGTCATATGACGTTGCTAAAAATAACATTATGTTGTGTATTTGGTGTAATGCAATGTGTTTATGCGGTTTAAGGTTCAAAAAACACATTATTTTCCACATAATGTACATTATTGTTTCTTCTCTATGCCCCGCCTTTCTGAAACGCGTCGATTTTTACAAAGCTCATCGTTCTGAAAAGCGAGGTGTACGCTGATTGGCCAGCTATCCAGTGCGTTGTGATTGGCTGAATACCTCAAGTCATTACGCCCCTTACCATACTGTGACGCCGTCTCCCGGCACGGCGAGACAAAACCAATAAAACCCATTACAAACGAGGCATTTGTTGCATCCAGTGGGGACATAATTACTGATTATAATGACTTATACTGTGTTTTTACGCGTTGCGTATCGCGCTCCATAAATATAAAACCATGTCTGTATTTATGAAAGGAGAAACGACAAACAACAAGCGCTACTCTACACTGCTCAAAACTCGCGTTTGAATCATCAGTGGCAAATTCTTTAAATATAAAAAATTTACTTACAGGCTGGGAGTCAGAAGCGCCAGACTGTCCTTGCAAAGTTGGAACTGCCCCACTTTATAACCAAGAGCTTGTAACACTCCAAAAAGAAAGGAAAAAAATGAAATCGCATCATATGACCCCTTTAATGCTAGATAGTCCATGCTTTTTATAATTAAATGGGCATCTAGCAAGCAAAGTCACACAATTTAGTCAACACTATAAACAATCCCTTTACACTCATCTGCAGGTGCTTTGTCTTAGTGTTTCTTCACTTTTTCAAATCACTTTCTGTCATAAAGACAGTTGAAAAGAGAAATGTGTCAGGAACAGTCCACTTGATTTAAACAATTCAGTTAAAGCGGTTGCAAACACCCATGCTGGATTGAAAACACCCAATGATTGGGAAACGCCCTGTTTTGTTTTGCATATTTTTTTGCCCACTAATACCACATACAGTACTTTACAGTGAGGCATGTTACATAAGTAATTTTTATCTTTTGCTTTAGTGCGCCAGTGGGAAATATCACTTTGCATTTCTAAACATTCATAGTGCCATTAACTGTAATAAACCAGTGAGATTTTTAGTTAGTTAATATAACTTATCTGATAAATACAATCTATTTATGACTTGATTTTTGAGAACATCCTTACATTACAGCACTTTTGCACACGTGATTAAAACTTTTCACAGTACTGTAGCTTCACAGGTAGAATTCACCAAGCATCTTGGAGATGTTCTCACAGTTCTTATGGATTTAGTTACCTCATTTTTTGTCTCTTCATGTAATCACAGACAGACTCAATGATGGTGAGATCATATCTCTGTGTATGTTGTCAGAATCACGCACATACAAATATTTCACTGGATTATTACAAATAATGACAAAAGGAATGTCTGGAAGTGTGAACTGACATTCCCTATTAACACACTTATACCAAAAGATATAACATTATATTTGGTGAAAATTCGAACATACTTTTGCTCAGTAAATCCTATTGTTGACACGTTGCATGGCTTCATGATTTATCCACACAATGTATTTCTAACGTTTTTGGAATTCAGACTCACCCTACTAGGACCCTGCACAGAGTTCTGCTTTCTCTCAATCGCTGGAGGTGCTGCTTGCTGCAAATCAAGTTCTTGTGGTTGAGATGCTGGTTGTTTCTGTGAAGGAGGTTCTGGTGGTGGATGAGGTGCTGGTTGTTTCTGTGAAGGAGGTTCTGGTGGTGGATGAGGTGCTGGTTGTTTCTGTGAAGGAGGTTCTGGTGGTGGATGAGGTGCTGGTTGTTTCTGTGAAGGAGGTTCTGGTGGTGGATGAGGTGCTGGTTGTTGCTGTGAAGGAGGTTCTTGTAGTGGGTGACTTACAGGTTGTGGTTCTGGAGTGCAAGTAGCTATTGGATGAGCACTGGAAAGATGCTGTTTTAGGTCACCTTTATTGATGTAAGTCTTGGGACACTGGCAGCAGTGAAAATGTTTGGCCTTTTTGCCACAGCCAATGTTACAGCTGTATATAACATTATCTAAAACAGAGGTTTGAGCACATTTGTATTAGCATAATATTGACCAGGCATAATGGATGATGTAAAAATACTTTTCACACTTAGTTCCTAACATATGTTAGTTAACTATTACTACCTTATTATAAAGAAACTATGCTCACACACTCACCTCCACATACAACCAAAAATATTTTTTTCATTGTTAGTTTATAACATGTTAACTACTGCTAACAAAGAAACTGTATCCTCACACACTCACCTCCATATTCAACCGCTCTCAGTTTATGGCCAGCTATATGGGTCATTATTTGATGGTACTGTCTTGGCTTACATACATCAGTTGTGCAGAAGGGGCATGTGAATAAAGTAGCATCTGTACGGCAGCGTCGCGGTCGAGGCTCTTGCCCTCTCTGCTTAACTGTGATGTGCTGAATAGACAAGAATATTCAGTTAGTAAGTGTCAGCGTGATAAGTGTCAGTTACGGAAAATAACTATAAACTTTCATCTAAAATGTGTTCTCTTCACTATAATACAATTGCTTCCCATTTTACAAAAAAACCACAAAAAAAAACCTATAAAAACATACTTAAGCTACATTACATTTTTGCATATAAATCCATGCATGGGTCAAAGACGAGACGTCCCATTTTGGTGACCAAATTCAGTTTACAAAAGTGTGTATACACACACACACACACACACACACACAAAGCACTTTAAAAGCAACTAAAGTGTCTACTTTAATGTTTCAAATAACTTTTGTGGAAATACAATGTCAAAATATGGGTGAAATAATGTTCCATCGTTATCAGTGTAACAGATATATTTATGTCAAAATGAAACAACATACTTATTCTGACCTGTACTTAAAATAAGTTAACATATAAAATAATTGAAAATATAAAATAATAAGTTATCATACTACATTTATTATATTTATTATTATATTTTAAATGATTAAACACTTATTGCTGACAAAACCTAGTGGTTTGAAGGATAGTGCACTGTGATCCTAAATTAAAGTATTTTAATGTCATCTAATGATTCTTGTTCAAAATTTTTCTGACAATAATTTTTGGTAGCTAGGCTATACAATGAATGTTACAATGAATGTTTTTTTTTTCTGTAAATCTTGTTAAAACTATATGATAGTCATTATTTTTTTTGCTCAGAAAATAATAATAGTAATCATAATAATAATTATTATTATTATTAAACGGGACACAATCTAATGTACGAAAAAATAACAAAGCTTTATTAAACTTTTATAGTTTTGATGATTGAAAACCGCTTTTCATCTTTGACCCGCATATGTGACCCTGGAGCACAAAACCAGTCATAAGTCACTTGGGTATATTTGTAGCAATAGCCAAAAATACATTGTATGGGTCAAAATTATCGATTTTTCTTTTATGCCAAAAATCATTAGGATATTGATCATGTTCCATGAAGATATTTTGTAAATTTCCTACCGTAAATATATCAAAAATGTATTATCATTAGTAATATGCATTGCTAAGGATATCATTTGGAAAACTTTAAAGGCGATTTTCTCAATATTTAGATTTTTTTGCACCCTCAGATTCCAGATTTTCAAATAGTTGTATCTCGGCCAAATATTGTCCTATCCTAACAAACCATGGAAAGCTTATTTATTCAGCTTTCAGATGATGTATAAATCTCAATTTCAAAAAATTGACCCTTATGACTGGTTTTGTGGTCCAGGGTCACATATAAATCTAATCTAGCAAGCTGGTTAGACTAATAAACTATAGTTTTAAATACAATTAGAATGTGCCGCTTAGAAAAAGGTACGGTAAGCAAGCTCCGGTTATCACCGCTGGTTCCATGAATCAGATAAAGGGACAAATATGTATGTGCACTAAATAGCTAGCTAACGCTAACTAATAATATTTAACGCGAAATAGTCATGAACCTAAATAGATATTTAGTAAGTAATGAGGCAGCTAACAAAGTAACACCAATTAGCCAAAACGTAAAATCAGTCCCCTCACAATCATCGGCAGGCTTTCTTTCTTTCTCCCTGTGTCTCCTCTTTCTGATGTTAGATTCATGAACGAAACGGTGGTTTAAAATGAATCTTTCAAGGGAATGATACGCTCTCGTTCACTTCATACATTTACTCGTTCACTGAGAGCCCTTTTGAAGCCAGCAGCAGCCGCGTTCCACTTCAACTTTTTATGCCCTTCCTTTTCGACTTGTATGTCACTGATTATGCGCGAGTGCCCACACTACCGGCAGCAGGGTTGCCAGATCTGAGTACCAAAACTAACCCAACGACCCTAACTCGAAATATGCCCCCATATAATATATCCCATACCACAAATCCAGTAACTATTATGCATTATATTTTAACTTGAAAATCACTGAATAGATTAGTGGTAGGGCCTAATCATAAAAACAGTCTACTGTCCAGTGTTTGGGGGTAACGCATTACAAGTAATGCAAGTTACGTAATCAGATTACTTTTTTCAAGTAACTAGTAAAGTAACGGATTACTTTTTAATTTACAAGATCATATCTGAGTTACATTTTCAAATAAGGCAAGTTACTTTTTTCCCCCAGTTTATTGACTGACAGCTCTCCTGTCCCCATGTTGAGAGAATATTGTAATGCATTACTTTTAAAAGTAACTTTCCCCAACACTGCTACTGTCATAAAGGAGCTTGCAGGAGCTCAAAGAGTTTCTACCAGTGCTGCTTCCTCCCAAAAATCTCCAAAAATCTCGCACAGTTTTATCATGGTAGCATATCAAATATTTCAATACAAGCACTGAAGCACTGGCCGAAGTGCACGTTTATTTTGTTCAATTAACTTGATACATTAGGCAAATGATATTTCTCTTCTCAGGCCTGGTTCCAGCAGCATGTTATTGGGGTATAGGGACAATGCATGTGTTTTAAGTTGTTTTCTTGGGGGTTGGTGACTTTCTCGGGAAAAACCGTGTTAAGGAATATTTGGGTAGGCAGGACACTACGCCCAGCACCACCCTCATCCCTCATGTCACTTATTTTCTAACTGATCCCACAAAATGTATTTATCATCGACCATGTGTGAAGAGTTTATTCTGCTAATGAGTGAGAAATTCAAGCAAACCATTGCCGAGGGGATAAAAAGCATTAATCGCAAACTCCACCTTAGACCTCTTTCATGAGTGCATTCTGGCTATGGCTAACAGTCTTGGGTGTGACCTTTCTAGTTGTAGGGGGCAACAATGCAAGCAACATGTCAGGGAAGAACAGAAATAATCCCTTAATCCATTTTGTGTCATGCAGTTAGAGAGGTCAGACAGGTCAGAAAGACCTTGAGCTAAATTTCCAGTGACATACATGGGAAATTAGAAACTTGCAGAGAAGCATCTGTGCTGTGCACCGCTGGACGTTTTGGAGATGACCTACATGATGCAGTTTTGGTACTCAGTACTAGAGAATTTCCATGCCACAAGCTAGCAATTACAGAGGCACATTTTTGCTGAACTCTCTGTGGCAGTGCAGCAAGATGGATTAGAAGCATTTGAAAGAGAAGACGTATGTATGTATCTGCTGTTTCTGAGGGTTTCTCATTGTGCAAAAAAGCACAAAACAGTGGCAGACTATCTGCAGAACCAGATGTACAGCATGATGGAAGGGATGACACTGAATATCACTGACAAATTCACCATCTTCATCATTTATGTAAGATGAACCAAAAATGAACCCTCAACATGCTCTAACTCAGGGGTGTCAAACTCAATTCCTGGAGGGCCGGAGCCCTGCAAAGTTTAGATTTAAACTGCTCTAAATGATTAACCTTAATTTACAATGAACATTTTCCAATGTGTACACTGCATAAAGTTTTTTTTTGTTTGTTTGTTTTTCTGAGACTGCTAGTTACAAACTGTGAGGAAGAGCATTCATTTTTTCCAAACCGTGTTGAGTAAAAATGAAATGTGAAAATTTACTCTCAAGTCTCTTTTGAATGGACGGATGGAGGAGGACATGAAAGAAACTTCTAAATAATAAATTCTTTCGTTTACCATAAACGCTGTTTGTTTATTGGATAGCTGTCAGAACCTGCAGATACAGTAGAGTGTTGGTAATTGCATGTCATTTTGCTTGTTTGATGGTCTGATGTTCAAAGGCAGGTCACGACTAGCACTGCAACTACAGACAAGAACCGCAGAAAAGAAAAAAAGGCCCTTGGAGATAAGATTTAATGCTCAGCATTTCACACAATGAAGAAAAAATAGATGCACATTGTTCTAATTTGAGTGGAAAACACTAAAGCATAAGACTTGCTTCTTTTTTGGGACAAATCATTTCAGTAAGTCATAACATAAAAAACACACCCATTTGTCACTGCCTAATGGCATACACTGTAAAAAATGACCGTGGATTTAACGGTAAAAGACTGTAAAAATGCTACAGTAAAAACCTGTTAAATGGTTAACGGTAAATTCCCCTACTATATACGGTGAAAAACTGTATTGGACATTACATATATTGGACATAAATTCTACGGTAGTATACCGTTTTTGGAAGTGAAAAATACCGTATAATTTACAGTGAATAACCATAAATTGACATTCCCAGAATTCCCTGAATTGCATTTCAAATTTGATGTTTTTTTTTGTTGAAATAACTATGTTTCTTCTTTTTTTACCGTAAATTTTACGGAATTTTTTTTACAGTGTATGTAATCTGGATAAATTGTCACAGTGAACAAATATGTTAGGGTTATGGTCAGTGTTCGGGTAATGTATTACAAGTAACGCGAGTTATGTAATCAGATTACTTTTTTTCAAGTAACTAGTAAAGTAATGCATTACTTTTAAATGTATAAGAAAATATCGGAGTTACTTTTTCAAATAAGTAGCGCATGTTACTTTGTTTTCCCATTTATTCACTGACACTTCTCCTGTCCCAGCTGACAAAAAGTTATGCAAAAGTAACAAAGCATTACTTTCCATAAAAATTAACTGAGCAATGCAACATTGTAATGCATTACTTTTAAAAGTGAATTTTCCCCAACACTGGTTATGGTTATCAAATTCAAAAGACTCAAGATGTTTGGAGGCACTAAACCTAACCTCACTAGCATTTTCAGGGAACATATTCCAAATCCATGAACATTTCAAATCTTGAAAGCGTAACAGTTACAATATAGATATTTTTTATCTTTATACAAACCCTGTGTTCAGCCTTCCTGCCAAACAGGTTGGACTTTTTCTTTTATAAAAGTAATATAGTCACCTGCAGTTATTGCCAACTTTGTATAAATCTTTCTCATTCATTCACACATAATTTCATAGAATCAAACACTCTAGAAAAAAAAACTTTATTGCCTACCTCACAGGTGATCAGAAGGTTGTGCAAATGTTAACACACGAAAGGTTGATCAATTATGCTTACACATTCTCACAAGACAAAGCACACAATACATGAAACCGCATGGCTTTTGGAGCAATTAACAGTATTGCTTTCATTTTGATCTGTGCATGCAAAGTTCCATGAGAACTTTAACAGCTCTTCAGACTTTAAAAGTGCACATCATTTTAAGAATGATGATGAATGTGATATGTCAGTTGGGCTTTGTACTGTTCACTGTCCCAACTATTATAGCAAACACTGAATTTCCATATCAAAAATACTACAAAAAATAATTTGACCAATATGCAAATGACATTTTTCCTTTGATATTCGGTTACACCGAGATTCCAGATGTATGCGTTTATTAAAATAGTTTATTATGATGAGAGGACACAACTTTAAAAAGGTCAAAGGGTGAAGTATGTATGGCTTGTGAGCATGTGAGACATGTCGACAACATGAAGGCTGGCCTCAGTGCTGGAATTATCCAGGTGACTCTGAATATCCTGGAATTTACTACAAAAAATAATTTGACCAATATGCAAATTAAATATTTTTCCTTTGATATTTGTTTACACCGAGATTCCAGATGTATGCGTTTATTAAAATAGTTTATTATGATGAGAGGACACAACTTTAAAAAGGTCAAAGGGTGAAGTATGTATGGCTTGTGAGCATGTGAGACATGTCGACAACATGAAGGCTGGCCTCAGTGCTGGAATTATCCAGGTGACTCTGAATATCCTGGAATTTGAGTCTTTTCCTCGCAGGCTGTGCTGTGGGCCGGTGGCTCTGCGGTGTCTATTATAAGATCTTCTGTAGTATGGAATTAGGCACTTCCAGTGTTTCATCCCTCACCAGAACTATATCGTAAGAGTCCATGTACTTTTCTAACCATTCCTCTACCTGTGAAATACAACAAAACCTTATCAGTGAAATCAACTAAACAACGGACCTGTTTTGAGCAATGAGAAAACAAATCAGTACCTTATCATTAAGAAAGCCGATTTTGAGGATGTTCTCTACGTTGGGCACACCATCTGCCATATTGAGATCACCGAGAGAGTCTCCGAGCAGAATAACGTTTCCATTGTCCTTCAGTTGTTTGAAATACTCTGTGTTCCTCAGGGCACCGTCATGCTTGTTGTAAACATGGATCAGCTCTCCTTTAAATCCTTTCAGAACCCCCTGCAAAACAATACAGAAGATCCTGATCACCAGATGATCATCACTGAGCTCAATTAAAGCAGTGTTTGAGAGTAATATAAACCGGTGATATTTATAAAGGCTTTGAGACTCACATTATCATCAAAGTCCATGAAGTTGGACACAATTTTGACGCTGGTGTGGTAGATGCCAGCTTGTCTGATAATTTCCTCCAGCACATCTCCCAGACCCGCGGAAAAAATGAACACAGGAATGCTGTGCTGGTGCAGCCGGTCAAAGAATTGCTCGTACCCTTCCCTGTCACATGCGTCCAAACACATGCCAAAGATCAGATCTGGCAACATCTTTGAGAGAGTAATTGTGCTTTTGGTGTAGTGTTGATAGTCAAAATGATACCACAGCTGCTGCAATTCTAATGCAAGTTTACTTGGTATTCAGAGTGAAAGTTTGTGAAAACCTCTTGATGTGAGTGGAGATGTTTGTACCTTAGACAGACATCTGACTCTCTCACGACCTCTGGAAGTTTGTCCTTTTGCAATCTTTGTTCTACCAATAATGTGTGAGACTTAAAATACCTGAAGAATAAAGACCACATTTATTTAATAAAGCATTTTGAAAGATCATTTCATGTGTGTTTATTAGCATGTGTGGTCACTCACCACTCCACCATAAATGGATATTTCTCCTCCATGGTCAGATGAGGGTCTATCTCTATTGGATAATACGTCTCCTTTAGTTGAAGCAGCTGGAAAAATAACATTTTTAGGATGTAAATCTACTTCATACAACTTAAAGGGTTAGTTCACCCAAAAATGAAAATTAGGCTGTGTTTTACTCACCCCCGAAGCATCCTAGGTGAATATGACTTTCTTCTTTCAGACGAATCCAGTCGGAGTTATATTAAAAATTGTCTTTGATCATTCAAGCTGTTTAATGCCACTCAGCGGGTGTTGCATTGCTTCAGTCCAAAAGAACTTAAAAAAATATCACCCATCCATAAAAAAAAGTGTCTCACACGGCTCCGGGGGATGAACAAAGTCCTCCTGTAGCGAATCGATATGTTTTTGTAAGAAAAACATCAATATTCAAAATGTAATAATCACTTTAATCTAGCTTGCGCCAACACAGTTGTACACAGAAGCAGCTCCGGGAGGATGACGTATGAGGTTGGCGTTGCGCATGCACCGGTGATTCTCGCGAAAACCAACGTTTGTTAACAGGAGCAAAGGAAGCAAAGTTGTAAAACGCAGCCGAATTTTCATTTTTGGGTGAACTAACCCTTTAATAAACTTTAAACGCTCATGTTTTGTTGAAGAAAAGATGAAGAAAATCATGTACCTTCTTCCTACATTCTTCTGTCACCAGCTTGCAGTTGTCAATGATATCTATAAAAGCAAAACGTACAGATTACTGGATCTCAAAGACATATTTTAATATTTTTAATATTTTAATTTTATATCCAGAACAGGTTATTATGAATTTTTTCATCCATAAATGTACATTTTAAAAGAATAGCCTATTTTATCTGGACTTTTTTTTTTTTTTACATATATTTGGAAAAAAAAAAAATTTATTACAAATTTAATTGGGTAATACTTTTACAGTGTAATACTTTTAATATATAATATAATAAATTTTAGTTCATGTATTGTAACCCTCTTAGAATCTTTTGTTTATTGACTTCATGCTTGCAAATGTTGTGCTCTTTGTTGCGGGGGGGGGCTGTTTTTTACTCACTATGACATGTTGGGCAACGTTTTCCATTGACAGCAAACTTGCTTAACGTCATATCAAAGTCTGTGATGATCTGAAGAACAGAAGGACAGTCAGCAGAGCCACGGTGGACACCATGGGTCATTAGACACTAGTCACAGACTGATTTATCAGCATTATCAAGCAACAGTAATGCTTGATTTATTAAACACTACTAATGATTGTGTTGACAGTACAGGTGTGTTTTCATTCAATGCATAACACTAGTAATGTGACAATAATTGTATGACAGACAGATGGCCTAATGAAGCCAGTGTTTGTACCTGCAGTTTCGATGCTCCACCTTTAATGAGACTGCAGATAATCTGCTCCACCCTCTCAGGGTCGCTGATGTGAACTGTGCTCTTCTCAAACTCTGGCATCTTCAGAAACACAAACACAGAAAGAACCAATGAGATCAAGCGGTTCAGTGGCATGACTAATTATTCCCTCCCCTCTCCTTAATGCTGTGCTGATGTCACTGCAGAGAGGGAGGAGCCAGAAGAGGGCAGACGCTGAAGTCTCTCACCAGTCAAGAAGAAAAAGTTATTAGCTTGAAGAAATCCACTGAGGCAGAAGAGAATGACTGTGATATATCACAGGTAAAAATTTAAAACAACCTACATATTTGAGTTATAATTTTGTAATAACCAAATTATTACAGAAAAATGGTTTAATAATCAAAATCATGGTTATTTAAATGTGCTGTAATGCACTTTAATGTTTTGAAAACACGGTTTTTGTATTATAATTAATGTGAGAGACTGGTTTCTGTATATTTATAAACAGTTTTAACATAGGGTTGTACTAACCACTGGCAAACTAAAATTCTGACAGTGTTGACGTGTGATTTGTCACTGTGAAGGTTGAGTCCCTCCTCGTCTCTATTCCAAAAATACAGTGGACAACATACCCTGAGTACACTGGATGTACTTGTGATCTGCCCAGTTCGACGCTGGATTAGCACATCGTTTGATACTGAAGGATGGAGCGGTCGAGCTATAAAAGATCTCGGTCATGATTCAGAACTGCAGACGGTATGTGAAACTACATCAAATGTCTGTGTTTTGTTGGCAGTGGAGCTCAAGTGCTAGTCAATCTTTAGCTCCGCCCACGGCACGCCTCCAGGAGCTCGGCTGTTTCCAGAGAGAATCGTAAAGCTGTATCTTTCTTTTATAAATATGATAAAACTAAAGACTTTTTGGAGATACTAAGGATGCAGTACTACTCTATAGGTACTCAAGATTAACATGAGATTGGGTGAAACTGTGCGTTATGTCCCCTTTAAATCAACAATTATATCTATGCATCATTTTTATTTTTATTAACTTATGTCATTCGCAGTGCTTCATGGAATCCCCTCATTAAAGCCGTAAGGTACACAGTTTCGTTTTCTTGTCTATTTTTCCAATATTGTTTTTGCCTGATATCGAAGTTTGTAATGTTGTAATTTACCTCATAGCTGGACTGGTTGATTTGGTTCATGGCTTTAGGAAAACAATATTTCTGGTGCCAAGGCAGCTCAAAAAGTGGGAACTGCTGAACCCTGATGGGAGTTTTCACCAAAAAAGTTACCATGACAACCAGCTCCTTTTAGGGTTGTGTCGGTGAGGAAATTTTCCCACCGGTTAATCGGCGTGTGACAACACCGGTAATACCGGTATCACCGCGGGGGCATTCCCTCTTTTCCTCGCTTTCCTTCGCTTTTAAATAGCTTGTAAAAGCGGTGTGCCCATTTTACTTTCACTTTAAAATAGCGGCAATTCTGAGTAAAGCAATTGTTCGTTTTTAGTTCGTTTGAATTTGCCTGCATTTATTTGATCCAAAGTACAGCAAAAGCAGTAATGTTGTGAAATATTTTTACTATTTAAAATAACTGCTTTCTATTTGAATATATTTTAAAATGATTGCTGTGATCAAAGCTGGATTTTCAGCATCATTACTCCAGTCTTCAGTGTCACATGATCTTCAGAAATCATTCTAATATGCTGATTTGCTGAAGAAAATGACTGCAGTGGCAACAGTTCCATGTCTGAGCCTCATCTCATTTCAGTGCCTCCTTTTTTAAGTATTATTATTGTTTTTTTTAGCAGCAAATCAGAATATCAGAATGATTTCTGAAGGATAGTGTGACTGGAGTAATGATGCAAAAAATTTAGCTTTGAAATCACTATAAATTACATTTTTAAATATATTCAAATAGAAAACAGTTATGAGTGTTTAGCGCTCCGCGATGTTCATCTCGCCTTAATCTGGGTCCGAATAAAACATCAGATCATGCACAGACTATCCTGTCTCTGTGAATTTAAATCTATATTTATTCACACCAGCTCTTGAAAACCTCTATGCAAACACACTTGCCCGAAAAAGTGCGGGGGACGAATTTACGTGAAATTAAAATTGGGGGGGACACGTCCCCCGCGTAATCTACGCCCCTGAGCATGATACTGTATTTATTCTGAACAAACGCAGATCGAGAGTGCTGAATGACCTCTACATCCCACATACGTTGACAGTGTGACAGTAGTGGCGCGCGCCGGGGCCCTCAGTGCACTGGACCTTCAGCGCGAACACATCCGTTACATTCAACCAAGACCGCCGTCAACTTCTCTTCAACTTGACAGCCTCGGGAACGCACTCATTTTATGCGCCACTCGCTCGCTGGGTAAACGGGGTGTGAAAGCCATTACAGAATTTGAAATATGTGCACTCACCATCTCGATTATCTTGGTTTTCTTTCCTGCTCTCTGTTTTTTGGTGAAAATGTACTGAGCGAACACGACTCCGCCGAACAGCGCGCACATAGTGGCGCTCGCCATCGCGCCCACTTTAACCACTGCATTTCTGTCCATGTTCGCTCTCCGGTTAGAAAACAAACCTTGTCTCGCATACACTACGTTTACTGGGTGTGTCGAAAGCGGTACACAACCACCCTACACCTACACCCTATCTCATTTTGCACTATGTAGTAGGCATCCTGTCTGCGTGCATAGAATACCCGGATGATACACTACAGTTGTCCAAATGTGAAGTACACAACACTACATAGCAGTCTCAGTCTGTATACCACAATGCAATGCGTTCGACTGGACACCCTTGCCTCCAGGGGGCGCTCTTTCTTTGCTGATTATTTTAGAAATATTGGTACCTTACATACCAAATTGATATTCACACCATAATCGATATAACATGATTAAATAAAACTACTAATAAAATAATATATACAAAAAAAAAAAAAAAAACCTAAAAAAAAACTTGCACCAGATTGGAAGACATATCCACTACGAGTTTTCCCTCAGGAAACTCCTGATGTGTTTTTCTTTTTCTTTTCTTTTCTTTCTTTCTTTTTTCTTTTTCTTTTTTTCCCCCTCCTTGCAAAAAAAAAAAAAAAAAAAAAAAAAAAAAAAAAAACCTAACAAAAAACTTGCACCAGATTGGAAGACATATCCACTAAGAGTTTTCCCTCAGGAAACTCCTGATGTGTTTTTCTTTTTCTTTTCTTTTCTTTCTTTCTTTTTTCTTTTTCTTTTTTTCCCCCTCCTTGCAAGCCCCTGAAATGTTTAAAGAATGTTTGTTTTGTTTGTTGTTATTGTATGTATATATATATATATATATATATACACACATGGACATTTATGTATGATGGAGATGTGATTGGTAAAGTGTATATTTTGTCATATGCATTTTATTGTCCCCATTTGAGTGTGTAAATTGATACTGTTCAATAAAAAAAAAGAAAAAAACGAAAAAGAAAAAAAAACTCCTGATGTGCTGCTTATTAATAGTAAGCAAGACGGCTGCTGTTGAGGTGTTGGGTCATGCAGAATATGTGCTTTATATTTACTAATAAGCAGCCAACATGCTAGTAATATGTATACTAATAACTAAAGCAACTAGTTAATAATATGCTCACTAAACTAAAGTGTTACTAAAAACTTTTCTAAGTTTTTAAAATTCTTATAAATACGTAATTCACCTGCCTCAATTACACAAGTAGGCTATCTCCTTTTTCAACGCACAGCCTATTTAATAAAGATAATATAAGCATCTAAATATAAAGTCTACACATTTTACAGAGATTTGTTTATATTATATATATATCGCAAATATCTGCATTTTCTGCAGGAGTTCTACACTCACTGGACAGCAGGTGTCGCGGTATACTCTGAACAGTCTATTATTTTCCAGAAGCAATAGTTTCATTCGCTTCTAGGCTTTAAAATCCATTTCACAGTTGATCCAAGACAAAAGAATGGATTTATTATTTGGATCGTTTATCTATTGCCATAGTAGCGAGTGGAGCATCTTACGTTAGTAGGGGAAAAAAAGACCTTGGGTTTGCCTAAGACACGCCCATTACGGAAGAGGGTGGAGATTAAATTCCACACACTTAAACAGCATCAACTTGTCCGGTTTTGGGCAGTCTCCAGAAGAAAACGCTCGTTTACAATGAATTTCCCGGGATACGGTGCACCAGCTGCGGGCGGGGTAGGATTTATCAGTGTTCTGTTCATTATATGAATTCATACGCTGTACAATTTTATACAGAACGTTTGGTAAAGCCTCATGTCAAGCAATCTTGTGCTTATTCTATCATAGTGTGATCAGGAACTTGTTTAATGTTGTTTAAATTGCCACAGGGTGAATTCTATTAGGCGATGGCTATGATCTTTATCTTACAGTGGGCGCTGAAAGGGGAAAGTGTTATGTTCTATGGCGTTTAAAGCTGTCCTGAAGGGTTGGTAGAATAAATATGGCATTTAATTGTTGCTGGTCTGCCTACCTCTGGTTTACTGTCTAAACACACTTGGTTTTAATCAGCAGATTAGTACAGTAACCCTTGACCAGAACTGGGTGTGTCAGAGACACGACTGTAGACCAGTGGTCCCAGTCCTGGCCCACAGCATTGCGCATTTGATGTGTTTCTCTTATCTGACACACTCAGTCCAGTTCTCTCTTAAAGGGATAGTTCACCCAAAAATGAAAATTCTGTCATCATTTACTCACCCTCATGTCGTTCCAAACCTGTATGAGTTGCTTTCTTATGTTGAACACAAAAGAAGATATTTTGAAGATTGCTGGTAATCAAACAGTTGGTGGTTGCCATTGACTTCCATAGTATTTTTTTTCCCTACTATGGAAATCAATGGCAACCACCAACTGTTTTGATTACCAGCAATCTTCAAAATATCTTCTTTTAAGTTCAACATAAGAAAGCAACTCATACAGGTTTGGAACGACATGAGGGTGAGTAAATGATGACAGAATTTTCATTTTTGGGTGAACTATCCCTTTAATGGAGCTTGTGATCTGCATTTATTGTGTTAAATAAGAAAGACGTAGAAAATGTGCAGTGCTGTGTGCCCAGGATTGTAAATCACTGTAGTATATCACTAGGTCGTCCTTCCTGCAAATACTTAACTTCAAAATAAAAGTGCCAGCTAAAGTACTAATTGGTAATAATCGGTTGGTGTAACACTTGTTAACTCATGAGGAAATCACAAAGTAGCAAATGTTCACTGAATAATGTGGTTTGAAATTTGAGTTTCTTAGTCAAGTTAAATTATAAGGGCATGAGGTCTGGTATCCTGCTCAAGAACACATGTAGCGATATTTAATTGATTGCTTCATCAAGTGTTTTGATTTAAACCTACAACCTTTTGGGTTTTAGTCCAGGATTTTCAACCACTTGTGCAAAACCACATTTGAGACACTTCCTGTTCACACGGTCCACTGTTCTATACAGTTCTGCTTTATTAATTATGAAAAAGTTCTTGCAGGGAGGCTTAATTTTATCATGTGCTTTCTAAATACATTATATTGTTATTAACTAAATTTAAAAATAATATTTGTATTAATACTTTGTGTAGACCTGTAAACAAAAGTTATGTAGACACATACTGAACCTGGAATAAGTGTGCTGTACTGTATACTTTGCAGTATTATTTGCATGATGTAAACTCAAAGCTTGTCTTCAGTCTTAAAGGGATCGTTCACCCAAAAATGACAATTCTGTCATCATTTACTCACCCTTGAGATGTTCCAAAAGTTTCTTTCTTCTTTTGAACACAAAAGAAGATATTTTTAAGAATGTTGGTAACCAAACAGTTGCCGGTACTTGACTTTCTTTTTTTTTTCTCCATACTTTAAATTGAGTTCAGTCAAGTTCAGGGTTATTTAAACACTACCCTGAAAAAGAAATGAATAAAAATTCACTGTAAAAATGTGGTGACAGTGAACAGTGATTCAAGTATTACAGGATGGCATATTGATATTTTATAAAGTGAAATGTTAATGTTAAAATACAGGTGGTAAAATAGACAACCACATGATGAAGTTTCATCTTAAGTGTCCTGTCCATAAGCCATAGCTGATTCTCAAATATATAGTATGCACCGTGCACAGGGTCAAACACACAAAGACAAAATGCCATCAGGGTAACACACAACATTACAACAATGCAATAAATATTAATAAGATCAAATGTAACACAAAACACCGTACCATAAACTGATTAAAAAATGAATGCATTAAAAAAAAAATAAGAATAAACAAAATGATGTTTATAAAACAATCATATATGTAATGTCATGTTTGTCAACTTAAATTATACAGTAATTCATTGTAACTAGCTTAAAACCATAAATTTGACAGTGTTTTACAGTAAAATTACATAATGTGATGTTAAACCATTTACTTAAGGTACTTCAAGGGGTCATATGATGCGATTTCAATTTTTCCTTTCTCTTTGGAGTGTTACAAGCTCTTGGTGCATAAAGAAGATCTGTAAAGTTGCAAAGACTAAAGTCTCAAATCCAAAGAGATAATTCTTTATAAAAGTTAAGAGTCAGCCACACCTACCTAAAACGGCTCGTTCTAACACACCCCACATGTCTACGTCACGATGTGAGAAGATTTGCATAACGCCGCCCAAACGTTCACGCAAAGAAAGAAGGCGTAACTTATATTCTCGCTGTAGTATTGTTG